ACCTGGGGCCTCGGAACCCGAGCCCGGGCGCCGCCGAGTGCTGGCTCGGTCCGACTTGCTCGGGCTCCTCGGGGCACCGTAGCAGTGGTCCTTTTCCTCCGGGACCCCCGGCAGGGCGTCGCCAGCTTACCCTCGGTCTCGGAGCCGGGGATCGAACCCGCAGCTGGGGGCGGGGCGGGGAGGGGCCGTTCCCACGCCGCGGGCCGCCGCGCTCGCTCGAGCCCCCCGCGTGCGCTTGGGCCCCGGCTGAGGAAATAGACTTTATTAGGAAAAGGGCAGAAGACTTGGCTGAAGTGAGCCTGGGGTGGCCTGGGGTGGCCTGGGGTGGGGGACAGCGGAGGCGGGCAGAAAAGAAGTTTGCAGGAAGAAAGGAAATGTAGGGAGGTCGGTGCGGTGGGGTTTTTTGTTGTTTTTTTGGTGGTGATGGTGGTAGAGAAACTGGTTCCAGCAACGGGGTGCACTGAGCTCCACTGAGAATTAAGGAGCTGTGTTCCTAAGCCTTCTGAGAAAATGTCCCCGTGTTAAAACAGGACTGTAATTGCTTTAAATAATAAGCCATCTCTGCATGTAGGTGTCTGAGGTGAGGCTAGCATCTTCCTGCCAGTGTAGGGTGCCACCTAGGGTGACACTGTCAGGGGTGCCTCTGCCTGAAATCGAGTGACCCTGCATCAGCTGTCCCCCTTTCCTGGGCCCTGTGCATTGGCCAGGGCTTAGTCGGGCCCACCTCCTCCCTTTCCCCCCTGTGACATTACCCCCTGGTGGGACTAGGGTACCGACCCCCTCCTGCCCATGTCTTTGGCCACCCCAGGTGGGACCCTTGTAAGTCAGCCTGCTCTGTGGTCCTCTAATACTTGTCTCTCCGGTGACTTGGTCTCCTTAACCCCTGTGTGCACCTTTTGAGTGACAGGGCTGATCCTGGCCTTTCCGTTGTCTCCATCCTAACTCGGAGGTGGGGCTAGCTAGACACATAGTAATGTGCTGAATAAAGGTCTGTGGGAGGGTTTTTCTCTGGTACTTGTTCTGGGACATTCGGTCACGCGGCAGACCTTTGTCAAGAACTTCTAAGTGGACTGAGCCCTTTGCGGCGATCACGGCTGGAGCCATAAACGCACATTTGAGACTGCTCTGTTCTGGCAGCCATTGCTGGTATCTCTTTTTGGCATGGCTCTGGAAGGCAGTAACAGTGTATGGATTTGAGGTGCCCCTCCTCCAGCATAGTAACCTGCATAAAGCACAGTGCATGTGACCCACTCATGTTAAAGAACTCAGCTTCCCCCTCAGACCTGTTCCCTTCCACGCTGCTCCCAGCTGGGCAAGCAGGCCAACCTACCACCCAGCTGACTCCTAAGAAACCTGGGAGTTACTGTATACCCCCCTTCCTCTCCCTCACTTTCTAAATACAACCAGAGGGCCAGTGTTCTCGTCTCTTAAACAGCTCTCAGATCCCCTGGTCTCCACTGCCACAGTCCTAGACCAGGCCCATCTTCTAGCTCCTGAGCCACTGTGGAAGCCTCCTAACAGGTCTCTCTGCTTCCACTTTCAGCCCTCCCTTTTCCTCATGGCAGCGTCCCAATACAGGTTTGATCAAGTGACTCATCCTCCCACACACACACTTAAACACCCTCCAGTGGCTTCCTCTGCTTCTGAAATAAAGATCTCACTTTTGGAGAGTCCCCAAAGGCCTGCATGACCCAACCCTGCTGCCCTCTTCTTCCTCGAATTGAACACCCACCTGCCACTCAAACCCACCTTTTCACCATATTGGCTGCTCTCAGCCCCTGGAACCCTGAGTGATTCATAATCCAGGGTCTATTCCCAGAGCCCACATCAGGGACACTACTCTCAGTCCCCAGCTAGCCTCACCACTTTCTGCAAGAATGGGCGCCAAGGTCTTTCCTTAGTTCCTGGAGTTGCCCCAAACCCTTCTTCCTTTCATTCGTCAAGGATT